TAGTTGTTATTGCGTGACATATCAGTCAAATGTTGTGGTTTATCTACATTCTATTTTATTTAATAAAAAAATTTTTAATTAAATCAAGAAAGAAGTTTCAAAATCGTCTTTTAATATAAACAAGTATAATTTTCCAAATTAAAATATAATTTCATACCTTGTCACAATATAAACGTTTGCGTCATTGTATGCGTGATGACATTCATAAGGCATGGGATGAGAAAGTTGATCCAAACGTATCAGCCTCTCAGTTTTATTTACGCTTTCGACTATTTTGTAAGCTTGTAAGTACTCGAAAAATAGTATGGTATCCCAATTTTGACAAACAAAATAAAAATTGTTATTAAAGCTAAAAATGTATTTAATTTTAACAATCATAGGATAATTGTTTTCAGTTTTTCCATTTATTAAATAAAAACCAATTCGATATTTAATACCATGGTTCTTCAACCATGCGGAAAAAAGTAAGTTTCCATAATCGACATTTAAGCTAAGAAACTATTCCTTAGTGCTAAAATTTTCAGTAACTTTTTTTTGGGCCAAGGATCGGAACATTATTAATTATATTGCTTTGCCAAGTACTAGACCATCGCATTTGATGTCTTTTGCTTAAAGTTTTGGCAATATTTTTATAGCATGTATTGTTTGGAATCATCTTTTTAACAACAACGTGTTTTGCTTCATAACGTAGGGAAGATAGTTGACACAGTGGACCCATCCGTAAAATAACGCCAGGGTAGTGAATCATCATATGATGTTTTGGTTGGAGATCCATGCCAAATTCAGCAATAAAAGCTTGGTGATGTTGTTCTATTAAATTAAATTAAATTATTATCAATTGAATAATTATGCTCGTCGAAATATTTAATTCTATCCCATAATTCTTCGTTTATTTCAAAAATATTTCCTACTACAAGTAAAAGTTAGTATATGCAAGACTGCAAAAAATCTAGATATTACTTACTACTACTACGGACACGAAATCACCAATAGTGTAAAACTGTATTAATTGCCTTTGCTCTGCTCAGTATGCGTATGTATGTAAGATGGCGATGGCGTCCAAACGAACACAGATAGAACGTAGAGCCTACGTTGCGACCACATGGAACGCGTAACGGTCGTCTTGTCGCCACTACTACGCAACACGTGAGCGTATCGAGACAAAAGAACAGCCGAACAACAAGGATGAACGGAAGGGAACGGTCAAATTATACACCGCTAAGAGTTACATTTGCACTGTTTGCCGTTATTTTAACAATTTTATTGAGAAAGTAAAGAAATAAACCTGAACGTAGTTGATTCACATTCCCATTGGGTGTTATTCTTTTTTAAACCTGTATATAGTATTTAAATTACCTCCGAAAAGTGTTACATTTACAATTATTTTCTGAAATATTAACTCTATTCGGAGATGTTTCAACACCGTGTAAATTCACTCTGTAAAATTTTTATCTGTGTACACCTCAGCTTTTGCCTACAATGCAATCTACCTTCACACACATAACTTATATATATATTTTTTTTTTGCATTCATTGGTTTAAACTAAAACAAAACCAAATAGGAAAAGTTGTTTTGTTGTATAATCTTTTAGGTACTTTAAAATATTTCATTTGATTTACCTTTATTATTTTTTTTTAGTTAAAATTGATTCCAACATCATCGATTATGTGATCATAAAAAATTAAATCAATGAAGTAACGATGAAAAATATTTTATTTTTATTTTTGTGTACAGCTGTTTCGGAACACCAACGTATCCTTCTTCTGGCACGACTAAAGATTAAAATACACATTGTAAGAGAAGTTATGATATAAAGAAGTTATATAAGATTATTATTGAAATTAACATTTAAAAAACCCCTGAAAATCAATGAATGCCAAAATAAAGCAAGTAGTAAAGAAAAACAGCAGCTTCTTGCAATTTGTGAAAGATTTTTTTATTTTTTTGTATTCTCACGAACATGAAAGAAACAACCGAACAGCTCGTTTAATATTAACAAGGCCTATTACGGTGTTTAGTAAAGATAGTTGCGAATTTAAGTATGAAGAATATTTAACACCTTATGCCAGCCGATATGCCCAGTTTGAAATTGTAGCCTCAAAAGAAGTAAAAGTGACTTTGAAAGCTTGCAAGATACATATATATGGAGTGGAATTAAATGGAAATAATTATGACGTTTCAACAATTCGATGTACTTGCATCAACTTTACATCAATGTTCCTACCCTGTAAACACATTTTTGCTGTTAGAAAATTGGAAAAAATGGAGTTATTTGATAAAACTTTATGAGGCGAAAGATGCTCCAAAGAGTTTTATTTAAAACATCAAAGAGTTACAAAAGGGAGAGTCGATAATATTTGTACGGAACCGGTTTCTGTAACACTTGGTAGTGTTCCAAAGATACAGACTGTAAATCAGAAGAGAAAAGAAGCTCTTTTTGTGACAAATTCTCTAGTAAACTTAGCTAGCTTATCTTGTGGCAGTTCTTTCAACTATAAAATGAAAATACTGGGTGAAATAGACACGGCTTGGAGGGAAGGCAAAGAAGTAGCTATTAAATTAATTGATGGCGACAATTTTATTGATGAAAATACAATTCATTGCAGTAAAAATGTTGAACAATGCAACTTGACTGAGGTATCTAACGTCAATAATGAATTAATTATGCTAAAAGATGTAACAACCTCAAACACACTTGGTTTGTGTGCTTTAACTGCTACAACATACCATCATAATTAACAATTTTAATATGTTTTAGATGTACATGAAGGAGCAAATAGCAATGGAGATGAACTTGCTGATAAAAATGAACAAAAGATAGATTGTAGCAATATTTCAAGTATATGCATTTATAATCATAACTTAATCTAATGTTTTTAGTGATAAGTAATATAGTATTACCAGCAAAAATTAAGGTACGGGGAAGACCTAAAGGTGGCGATCAAACAGTTATGGGTTTAAAGCGGAAAAGAAACAAAAAAAAATAATAAACGACAAAGTAATAAATTATTCTAAAAAACTGGAATAAAATGTGTATTATTTACATTATTTATAATTTATTACGACAAAATTATACCTATTTATTGTTGCTGATGCAGAAATATGACAGAAATTTTATTATTACATATAGGAAAAGCGGTGAACAACTCAAAAGTATTTATTTTGTGAGTTATGCGTAAAAACTGTAAATTAACAAAGAATGAATTTTTATAATTTTTTCGATAGTGCGACTATTCTCGCCGGGGTGCGATGTAATATACTCTTTTGTTGAAAGTAAATGATTAAATTATCACCTTAAGTTAGTAAGAAGAAATCGACAATACTTATATAAGGTTAAAACTTCCAAGTTATTAACGTGTACCGAATAATATTCAGTATACGCACGCTAAACGTGACGTCATAGCTGTGATGACGTTTCGTGTGTATATAATTTTTTAATTTGCGTACACGTTAGCGTGTACCTAGGCACAGCGGATTAAAATACACATTGTAAAGGAAGTTTTGATATAAAGAAGTTGTATAAGATTATTATTGAAGTTAACACTAAAAAAAGCGCTTCAAAATTCTCTTGAACATTCTTAAAAATTCCTTCAAAAATTCAAAAAATATATATATTTACCGTCAAAGGATTAATGATGAGGGTTCATGCTTATTATTTTAGCATGTTACAAGATGAATCAAATCGAAAAGGGCTGCAAAACATCATCTAGACTCAAAATTTAAACCGGAAAGGAGTGTTAATTTATGTAGAAATAATTGCTTAAAATTTAATTATATATTAAATTTATATAATAAAATTATATATATAAATTATATTATAATCTTTAGTCGTGCCAGAAGAAGGACACGTTGGTGTTCTGCGAAACAGCCGTACACAAAAATAAAAACAAAACATTTTTCATCGTTACTTCATTGATTTAATTTTTTATACCTTTATTATTTCGATTATAATTCTTTTTTTAATAAAAATTATAGCAACTCAAAAATTCTTTATAGCTTTTTGTTGTGTTGTTATATCAACTAACTTCACACGTCACAGTTCGTGAACTACGCGAGGTTAACTGTGTGGTGCCTAAAATAAATAACGTGGAAAAAGTTGTTCCAGGGATAGGACCAGGTTGTAGTTAGTGATGGGCACTATCGAATAAAAACTATCGAATAATTCGATAGTTGGTAAGTATTCGAATAATTCGATTGTTGTTACCAACTATTCGAATATTCGATTAGTTATGAACACTATAGAATAA